TTTTAAGCCAAACATGATGGCCTGAAAGAGAGAAAAAAAATATTTTAGCAGATGTTCAATACATAAAATAGATTTGATTTATTTTTTTATCTAAGTTATGCCTCCCACTATTTTTCGAGTCCCTCAAAACCTTTATAAGAGGTGATCGGAAAACAACCCCTTGTTTTCAAGCGGGATCAAGATCCAATTATCATTGAATGTATCAACCTTAATGATGTCCAACAAATCGATATACTCCATAATTGGTAGACAATTTTTGTCTTTTACATTCTTGTAATTCTTGATATGATTTTACTCCTAGTCTTTTATGACCTTGACGATGGCCAACAAATCATAAAAAGCTAGTTAAGTTTGGACCCATCATTTCTTGACTAGCTTAAATTTAACTTATGCATACTCTTGACGAAGGACAACAAAGTTGCATAACCAACTTAAGCTATCATTATATCTTATATACAGATGAATACTACTTAGCCATAGAATAGTATTACCTTGACGATAGCCAACAAACAAAGTATTTATAAGCTTAGTAGTATTCAACTGAAATGATGGAGGGCTACGGACGATCTCATAAATCTTTTACCGTAATCAAACTTGATATAGTTTAAAGATGCTCTATATTTATACTTGTAACAACTAAACTAGCCAGGTAAGTACAAGACTTGTGGGAGGGTTGCGAGATATTCACCGGGAATATCATCGGACCTTAATTAAATAACCACCGCTCTTTAAGACTATAACGTAAAAGATTGGGCATCACCCCTAATCTTAAGTTGGGCATCACTCCATGAGCTATATCTCATAATTACTTTCCTTGACACTGGTTAAAAGTTCATTCTAAATACATTTCTTTTAACTGCTTTAGGTTTATTTATCTTTCACACTAACGCTATGTTAATGTCGGTCTCACCACTCTATGGTCAATAAACTCTTATTGTCACGTCTCACAAAGTTTAAAATGAGTTTTTTTATAATAATAATAAAAACTATTTCTCTAGTGAGATAGAGATATTAACTTTGTAGAATATAGCACCCAATTGTATTGACATCTACAATTAGGGCACAACCAACATTGATATATATGTAAAAGCAATATGGAATGGTAGTGGACAACTTAAGGAATAAAATGTAACTACACTAATTATATTTTGGCAAGCAATTTGCAACTCCTTGTAGTGCAAGCTCCCTTAGAAATCCTATATTATTACAATCACATATTCATAGGACGTGGAAGCCCCATTTATTATGGAAAAACCATCTCATAGGATGGGTAATAATATTGAATGTAAAATAAAAGCTATAAATAAAATAACTTAACTAAACAACCATACCCCCCGCCCCACACCCGAACAAGGGCCTATACCCGTAGCGTAGCCCATGATCGGTGAGCAAGTGCCTTAACCTGTAGACATAGCCCATGCTTGAGGAGGGAAGAGGTCATAAATAATATTATATTTCTAACTATATTACATCAATACAATAAATACAAGAGAATCGTTGTCCACTACCATCCATAAACATAACATTCACACAAGATAATATAAAACATATAACTTAATCAACATTAAGAAATATGCATCTATCTAGTTATGCAACAAATTGGAAATCTAGATAACATAGAGATTATCCTAACTCAAATAGGACTATCATGCTTCTAACATACAACTACACTAGTTGTAAATAAGTGTTTTGCAATTTATACAAGTATTTTTACTCTTAAAAACTTATGAACCAAAAGTAACATTTTTGAATCAACAAATAGTATAACTAATTACAAAACAACTTGTATTAATTAACTAGTTTCATTAAAACATATTTTAATTAAACTAATAATTAGAAGCAAGTACAAAGTCCTCTATGAGTTAGATATGCATGTAAAGATTTAATTAAATGGAACCATGACTCTGATACCATGTTAGAAATTCGTGCTAAATACATGCAAAATATACAACAAAAGACTATATGTATAATAATACTAAGCATGTAGAGAGAATGAAAAACAAGTTAGGACCATCCTAATTAAATCTAACATGATCCCTATATTAAAGAGAGCATACAAGAATTAGAAAGTCATACTTTCGAAGCGTGATTCGGTAGAACATCGAACAACCCATAGCTCTTGCTCCTTGTTGTTGTAAACCTCCTTGTAGTGGATCTCCATGTCTTCAAGTAAGCTTGATAAAATCAGAGTCTTCTTGAGACACAAGGTAAGATATTCACTCCAGGGTACTATAAAATCCTACTACTTACTCTACTATAAAATCCTACTACTTACTCTTACTTAAAGATTGCTAGAGTTTAGTAAGAGGTAGAGCTCTCTTTTTTTATTCTCTTATGAAAAAAACCACTTAGCCAATTTTTTATTAACCTTTCCATAAGAGAGAGAGCTCATATATATAGAGTGAGATATGTCATGACTCATCTCATGAGTCATGCCATGAGTCATCTAAATGTAATGATTCCTTTCATGAGTCATGCAATGACTCATCTCATGAGTCATGCAAAGAGTCATGAAGAATCAAAACTAATGTGCTAAAACCATGTTCCCAAATCATACCACCTTAATGACTCATCTTATGACTCATTAATCAAGGTATAATAAAGTGTGTATTTCATAAATAAAAATACCACATCAATACGGTATTAGTGTGTATTTCATAAATAAAAATACCACATCAATACGGTATTTCATAAATACGATATTTCGTAATTTTCCAATCATTGACTAATAAGTCATCATGTATTTCATAAATACGATATTTCGTAATTTTCCAATCATTGACTAATAAGTCATCATGTGACCAAAAAGTAAATGAATTGACCAAAAGTTAACTAGTTGACTAAAAGTTAACTTTATGGGAAAAATACTCGAATTCATTTCCTAAGCACATAGCACTCTGATTTTACCGTTATACATAACCGTTTATGTGTATCCGGTAAAATCATATATGTGTATTAATCATACGTATTACTCTATTAATTGTGTTTCGTAGGATTCAAGTACGCGCTTGGTGTGACTCTAGGGCCCAACTTAAGAACTCGGTAGTGGATGATATCCACAAGTACAACAGAGGTGCTAGCTACACATGAAGACAACACGGGTATAAGTTGTGATAAATGTCTGCAAGATACTAACACAATTTTATCAGGACCACTCATTGATAATATTGTACAGTCCGGTCTCTTCGTTAAACCATGTCAAACTATCGAGCCTAGGATATGGAAAACTGTCAAACCCTAATAGCTAGCTCGATTAGTGTTTGTTGATATTAAACTCATAACCTATAAGATCAAACTGACACTCAGTTTATCTTATTTACCTCGGCCAAGGATTTCCCGGCTATAGTTATATCAAACAATCTTATGACATCAACCCCTTATACTGGGAGAGAGGAATCCCATCTTGGCATCTCAATATCTATTTATATCTCGGGATGCACATAATAAGAACCGTTATGCACAACTCAATGAGAATTGTGATTAGGTAAAAGTATAAGTACACATATACTGACATGTAAGATATTACACTCATGCCTTAGGTTAAGAGACTACTATGTACTATATCACTTGAGAACCTTTATTTGACAGTTAAGTATAATTACCAACTAGATGTTCTCAGTGAGTCATTCAGTCAACTCATTCACTAATGAGTCACCTGTATACTATATCTTGATGTCTCACATCAATAATCCAAGAGATGTATTACCATCCTACCAAAGGAGAAATAGAGTATACACTAGTCTTCCCAAAGTGATGATGTCCTATTTTAACATTTCATCGACTAGGAACATTTTAGAATATATGTTAGTGACAAATCAGATCTCTTCATTACGATCATATCCGAAATGTCTGATAGTCTAAGGACTTTATCTGTATTAAAATACCAGATAAATCTGACCAAAATAGCATACTATCATTTTGAACAAAGATGTTATATTCATATAGGTCCCGTTACAATATATAATTATTGCCTGCAGGGCACCTATATCTAACAGATTTTAGCAATGAGATGGATAGTTAGGCCAAAGAGGTTATGTTCTTAGAATTGTATTGATCGTTCTCTGATGTATCAACAACTTAGTGGCGGACTTTGTATTATCCCCCGAGAGATACCCAGGGAAATTTTCGACCTCCATCCCATCGACATAGACTGACACCTATAAACGAAATCCCCAAAATTCCCGTCGATCACTCCGCGGTGAAACAAACCGGAATCCCACACAACTTGCAAGTTAGGATTGA